ATATGTAGAAGCTTTTTTTTGCGCTGTCATTTTACATTCTTGTTTGAACATATTGAACCTTGACTTCAATCTGCGTTGACAAGTTGCTAAAGCCCTTCAAGTGGAACATAATAAACAATGCACATTATTCCTAGTAAATAATGAAAGTTATTCATGCATCAGTTTCAATGAATGATAAAGCATGGATGAAATCCTTTGATAAAGCGAAATAAAAAAAAATAGTAAAGTTCTTCTATGTGCTACAGTATCTTTACTTCTGGACAATTTTGACATGGCCTGGATTGTAAACAATTCAGATAAATGTGAATTATTGAAATGTAAGCGTTGTAATAATTAATGATAGTAATATTGTCTGGCATATAATGCAGCCTACAAAATTTCAAGTTGGCATTCCACAATTTTTGAGAATATTGACGAACAAGAATTGGCACAGGTTTTTTGGCAACCTATAGTAGATTTTCCATGCTTCAGCATCCACCGTATTTTACACTGCAATCTGAGGCATGGTTTCCACTGAGACAGATCGTACCGGAAACTACATTTATGTACGTTGTACCCGAGGAAAATTTGCCAATCGTAAAACAAATTTTTTGTAAAATATTAATAGGCAATAATATATAATCCACATGCGACTCCTCTTTCTACTCTTTGCCAAATGTGGGCCTCTTTACTATCTAATAGTAGCAAAGTTGTTGTAGATTTGTAAGGGTACAATGTGTTAATGACTTCATAAACTTGAGTATTTGTAAAAACACGGAGGATTGAAAGTTGGCAAGTTTTTGCTGGCCTATTTTTATCCTCATTTTGGGCCTTGCGGGGACTTAGCAGGGGATGTAATTTCCAAAATGGTTACATGCATGTGAGAGTCCCGGCCACCTCCTAGCAATGCGGAGCATCGTTTTAATGTACATCCCCGGCTAAGTCCCCGCCACACCGCCGTAGTCCTGGGAAAATGCCTCGCTAATAAATGATTGGAGGATAAAACCTACTTGAAGGTTTAGCCTACAGTAGGTCTGAATCGGAGAAGCAACGTGAGAGCTAGGCCAAGGAGATGAGGTTCCTTGATGGAAGCACTACGCGTGCGTATCACTTAGCAGTTTCCATGGAAGTTTGGACTACAATTGACAAGTGCATAATCTGTCTCTTATACACATCTAGATGTGTATAAGAGATAGATTTTTCAGTGGGATTGAGCACTGTTTCACAAAAAATTGAGATATTTTTTTTTTATATATATATATATATATATATATATGTGTATATATTATATATACAGATATATATATATATATATATATACATATATATATATATATATATATATATATATCACAGCTATAATAATGACTTTACTATAGTTCTGCTTAACATGACAACCGAATGCTGACTAGTCGTACACTAAAATAAGCAATCACATTTGCAAACAGAAAATGTAATCACTGTTTAAATGGAAATCTCTAGACAAGAGGCCTAAAACAGACAAGATGCTTTCTGTAAGTATCATTGGCCTAGTTCAGAGCTCAACTCACCAGGTTTATCCACCTGCCAGTCTGAACTAGGTGGCTTATCTAAAGCCGGGCTCTGTTCCTATAGTAACTGGGCCTGGCGTACCACCGTGTTTAACTTTTCTAAGATGAGTTTTAATCGCTGCTGGGGGTCTTGTGTTGACTTCGGGTAAAAAAATATGACCAATCAGCATTCAATTACTTGTGCTGTGAGCAAGGGTGCGTTTTGCGCACAATGTTTGGAAACACGTACCTTTCCTGGTTACGGTTCATTAATATGCAAATTATCGCGCCTGGCTAATCCCGCTAGTCCGAACGCCCTGGCAAAGTTAAGTCAGGCTTAATGTTGAGCCGGGCTTAACTCAAGGCCGGCTTAACTCCAAGTCTGAACGTGCCATTATGAGGCTATCTCTACTTTCTTCCTGCTGTATACTACCCTTGCCTAAAGGACAGGTATGGGTATGCACAATAACGTGCAGCTGTATGTGTGTTTCGTACCTGTGTCCCCTTCCAGGCGCGCTCAAAACTATTGAACCAATATACTTCAAATTTCTACACTTTTACAATGTTACATGTATCTTGGTCCTAGAATTTGGTGCTGATCAGAAGTAAGATGCAGATTTAAAATTTAATTTATATATTTTCCAGTCGCAACACAGAGCTGAGCCGGCGGAGTTGATCGACCATGGCCTACCACACCCTTTAGACATATTGTTGCTAAGGTCCATAAACATGCGTTTGTGGGAAAACATGTGTCTGTAGGACATGTTCTGATTGGTCAGTTGTTCAGTTTGATTGACCTTCCAGAAAGGTTCATTTGAGTTGCTATAATATGGAAACTAATCGGCAAACCAGGGAGGTTTAAAACAAACTGTCACATGTAGCCTTATATGAATCTACACAGCACAAACCACTTCCCTACTATGATCCGGGCCTATAACAATAATCTAAGATTATACCCGAGCCCTGTTACGCCATATATGTGTACTGAAAAAATAATGGCAAACAAAGCTTGCAAAAAGCCTCACTGCCGAAAACAAAGTTTGATGACAGATTTTCGATAGTCACTTTATCTGGAAATCAGATTACCTACAAATATCGATAAGCGGATTGGGATATATATTTTGTAATGTATAGGCCTAGCCAGTTAAAACTGGTAGGCATTCAATTGTAGGTATACACACTCATTGTTCAGAATCAGAAACGGCATATTAATTATGCAAATGAGCAACTGGCATATTCACACATAACAAAACCATCTTGCTTTCTGCCAAGTTTGAAAGCAATCAGACTTAACCAAACTTTAGTTATGGTATATCTAGCCTAGATTACCTGGTAAGTGAAATATTAATTATGCAAATGAACAATTAGCATATTCACACACGTACCAATAACAATTAGGCTGCACCTTCTTACTACCATCTTGCATTACGCCAAGTATTTTATCTTCTTCATTTCAATATTTACGTTAAAAAATTGTCCTAATAGATTTTAGGGACATCCTATTGAGGCCTATCTTACATTTTTAAATATACAAGGTTTTGAAAAACAGAAAATAAAGTGCAATAATGCATATATATATATATCAATCCACCAATCAGTAGTTTATTAACTAGCAAAAAACATAATTATCAAAATACGAACATGAAGTGACAATTAAGGCAGTGAGTGACAAAAACTTTTTAAATTGGAATAGTAGGCTACCGGTATACTATAGCCCGCCGCCGTTACACCATAATACTGGTTACTACTACCAAAATTAAAGTGCAAAACACTATTAATTTGCTCTTTAGTACAAGTTTACACCAATAAGTACGTTGCAATAAATTATAAAATTGTAAATTACAAAAAGTGAACATTGAAAGGTAAATTTCAAACAAAATGTAAATATTGTAAGTACGGATGGTTTTACGATGTGTAAGCCAACAAAAAACATAGACAAAGGTGTATATCTTTTCATTTGCACAAAATAAATCTTCCCTGAAAATGATTGAATAACTGTTAGTATTATATTATTAAAAACTACAGGTAACTCAGGTGGTTATTTCATATTTACCAAAATAGTTAATTGAAACCTGAGTCCATACAATTTATATATATTATCTATAATATACTATATTTAAATATAAAATATATAATTTCATTTATCATTTACGCACAATTTATTACTTTATAAAAATGTAATTAAAATAGAATAGAGAGATTAAAATTACGATAAAATATTGAATATTGCAAAATATAATCAAATATACTTGTAGAATACAATAAAGCAGAGCTGAACTGAGTTTTCGAATCAGACTTGCGCATTGGAGTAGAGTTCGCACTCCAATCTGAGACCATCTTTTTGTAGCTGGAACCGTGGGGTGGTGGTGGTTTAGTTCTCTTATTAACTTTGTGGTAAAAGATAAACTGTTAGTAATGAAAGTTTTCTCCCAAATTAAGGGGGTAAAGGAATTAGAGGGGACTTGAATTTGGGGAGGCGAACTGTCCCAATGAGCCCATCAAGGTGATTAAAAAAAAAAAAAAAAAATGCTAAGCTAATATTATTGGAATGATCTGACAAGTTCTGTTTGGTATACCACCAGATTTAGTTGAGTAGTCTGATAATTGAGCTAAAAGACTACTTGAGAAGGAAGTCCCTAACAATTAAGAATCGCATACAAATAAAAGAATACATTTAAGTGTCAAATCACAGTTAGCAATATATTGCATAGTTCATTCAGATAATTAATTTTGGTCCAATCAACATTGACATACACATTACTTATTAATAACCAATACAGGTTTCCCTCTAATTAAAGACCACTTTAACAAGGGACCACCTTCAATTAAAGACCACTTTTATGTGGTACCAAATTAACAAATGCCTTTTATCTTTATTACTGTATCTATTTAGAGACCAAGAAACCCTAGTCCCAAAATTAATGGCCTTAATTTAGAGGGAGATTTTTATTGCTTATTAGCAATGAAATAATACGCTATTTTTGTCTAATAAATCTACCATCTAATCTAACAAACATTGTGGGATCAGTTTACATACACCAATGCCTTGTTACCACAGGAATCAAGCCACGGTTTGTATCAGAAGTACGGGCCATGATCTAGTGGTAAAACTCGACTTGACAGAGAGTTCGCATGTTCAATTGCCACCGAGGGAACTTTATAATTCATAAGAAACTATTTAGTACGCATGATACGATTCTTTACATAATATTATGTCTGTATTTGAGCACTGTTTTCACCATTGATTAATCACATACATAGATACATTGCACATGCATATCATATACAGTATATGTACTGTCTCTTATACACATCTAGATGTGTATAAGAGGTAGGCTCTACACTAGGCCTACTAACTTTTATTATTAATGAATTAGAGAATGTTAATGTTGCCTAGGGCCTTAATCTGTCTCTTATACACATCTAGATGTGTATAAGAGACAGGTTTAACCATATAAAAAAAATAAAATATTCGCTGTAATTAATTCATTTGGTTTTGGTAATAATAATAATAATAATAATAATAATAATAATAATATAAATAATATAAAAATACCAATATTTTAATACAATTGTGTAAAGACAATAATACTTTCACCATTAAAAAAAAAAAAAAAAAAAAAAAATATTCGCTGTAATTAAGTCATTTAGTTCTGGTTACAAAAAATAGAGTGGATGGATCATGAAGCCTAAATATCAATTCCACCTTCAGTTGATAATAAAGGCTCTGTCTCTTCATCCTCAAATTGACAAGATTTCTGTGTTGTCCTTAACGATGGCATCTTTTTACCTTCAGTTGTTTTAAGTTGTTTCCATGACAATACTGTCAAAGTCTAGAAAAAAAAGATAAAAATAATTTATACACACATTCATTTGTATATATATAAGATGTATCCACAGGTGTTTTATGAAATATCTATAAAACGTAATGCTAACGAATACTTGGATATAATTTTGACTCAAAAACAAAAGAATACATTTTAATGAATATTTTGACTACTCGTATAGCCTTTGTAAATTAGGAAATATCACTGACAAACAAAATTATAGGCCCATTGCTCTAGAAACCGAAAGGTCCACTGATTAATCTAAGATTAGATAGTATGATATATACTCTCGTGTCATGAATCCCGACACGATGGCGTGCAATTTTGATACTTGGAGTATGTATATACTAACCCACATGTGTAGGCTTCCAAGCTATTAGAGTCTTAGGATTCAAAGTTCAGGTGATTCTTTAAACTCTCATTAAACCAGTTAGGTTTTAAGTCTGGTCACTCAACGGAATTATGTATTTTTGAATTAAAACAGATAACCGAGTTAATACCGCCGATCTGGTGCTCTTGGCTCCATTGTCAGCTGGGTTACAGAGTCTTATCAATATCTGCGAGAGCTTTGCCAATGACTGGGACATTACTTTTATAATGAAAAGAAATCTAAATGCATGGTATTTTGTCCCAAAGTACGCAACTTTCAGGGTCAAAATCTAATCACCATTCATGGGACCCCACTGGAATTTGATAATGCTATCACATTCGTCAAGAATTTATCAACAATGGAACCTCGCTCTGCATTAACTGCCCCTCTTTCTATAACTAAATATTTAGCTTGAGTTTTTCATTGTACAGTTTGCTTTCAATTCATATTTATTATTGTCTATCTGCATTTACTATGGATATGAAATTCTGAAAATAAAATGATGGACGAATGAATGAATGAATAAATGATGCTTGAGACAAAATGATATGTATCTAGGTATTCATTACTGTTAAATTTTATTTATATGTATGTATGAGTGTACACATATAAAAAACATATTAATCAATATTATCAATGAAACTCGTATATGTTATAAGTGGTGATAAAATGGTTGACAGACATAAAAGTATGGCATGCACTTTGACTATGGCTGAAAAGAGGATTACCATGATTGGTGAACTTTTCTTTGATAACATTAGATTTAATGATTCATATACCATTGGATCTGTCATTGTCTCATCTTCTATCCAATGGAGAGTCTGGCTATTAATCTGTTATTTCTATGCAAGTCTAACAATCACAGAGATATATATTAGAATGTTTATAAATCATTTTAATTCCTTATTCCTTACCGTGCATATGACAAGAATTGTGAGTAAAACTGACAAAAGAAGATACGGTTGGGTGACTGCACCGCCAGCCCACAGAGGCCCCAATATAGTTGCTATGCCACCCGTTGCTCTTCGAATACCTTGCCCAAACCCTGAAAATACAATTTACATTAGCTAACTTTAACACCAGATTGTACATTTAAACCTTTAAATTGTAAAGAAAGTAATGCGAAATGATAATAATAATTAGCAATATATATAGCACATATGATAATAATAATAATAATAATAATAATAATAATAATAAAATAATAATAATAATGGGGAAAACCAGTGTGTAGGGAAATAATTTTCTTTTCTAAATTATTGATTATAAATCTAATTACACGTCTGTGTATAAAAAACCGTGACTAATCAAAAGTAATTATTTATTTTAGTCAATGTGTGGTAAAGATTATGTATTTTCAACAGTGAATTAAATTCTAGGAGGGAATTTCATTTGTTCGTCTTATAGGGCCCTAGGGTCATATCTAGGGGTGTGTATATATATATAT